CTTTGATCAGCATTTCACTTGTAACTGAACGTTATTTATTGCCGATCAATACTTTCATTTTCCAGATTTCCTCGTTTCTTCGTAGTGTATATATTAGCTGTTCAATGATATCCACTTGTTTCGGTCTTTCTACATTCGTCCTTAATTTCATCGTTTTGTAACATAAATGGACGTTATCCGGTTGATGTATCGTGTGTATAATAAGTATGCATCTGGCTGAGAGCTTGCAATAGACTACAATTATCCTACAGTGCCAAAAGTGGTGAAATCAGAGATGGTATCAGCTCGTTTTTTTCGGTCCTCTTGCTTGAATTAGAAATGAGAGTTTTTGGCAATATAGTCTCTGTTAACTCTTTATCAGATCGGTTCAGAGACCAAGGGACGGAAGAAAAGAAAACAGAAGAAGGAAACGACGAAATTTGTGGCTGTGTGGGAAAATCAGTTTCTTGAAAACGTTAAACTATGCTCAGAACGGATACCAGGTCAGTAGAGAAATTACCCCAGGTGCATGAATCAAGATTGTGGATTTGTAATTCATGATAAAGTATACGGTATTTTCCATACTTTTTTAGAAAATTAAATTTGTTTTGTGCACATCTGTACTCTATTTTAAGGGAAGCACTCCTTGGTCACGCTTTTTTTCTTCAATCCAGCAACGTATTTGGCTAATTTTGTCTATCTTTTCTCTGTGAAATTTTGATGTCTGCTTAACTGTAGTCAACTTCCAAAAGGTAAATGCATTTCATAGACCCCGTTTTCAGACCGAAAACGCTCAGACTACTCTCGTTGGAGTGGCATGCAGTGGTAGATAAGTTAAACGTTTTGGTTGATTGCTTGTTGTTGATGGCTTTAAGGATGTTACGCTCCAAATGGTTTTCACTCCGAGAAACCTGTGCTTTGTGCTTTGTCCGTGGACAACAGGATTTTGACCGTTTTCAAGGAGGAGAAGCCAGGACGCAGGGAGGAGATCGAAAATGTTGAGGTCAAACTTTTTGAAGCTGGTATGTATGTGTACGGACTGCACACCAGTGGCCCTGATTACGTCACTGACGAACTGTGGGCTGCATTTTATAAGAAGCTGCTGGAAGAGAGACTGGTACCCATTATCGTTCTGTCCAATGAAAGTCCAGGGTTCGACTGGATAAAGAAATTCGTACAACCAGGTGAGTGGAGACCACAGATATTCGAGAGGAACTCAATTATTCTACAAAATTTAGCGTACGTTTTTTTACTGTGATTATTTTTTCAGAGAACGTCCATCCATGTACGTGGACTGAGTGGGAACTACATCGTGGCATTGTTCCACCAGAGGAAGATTATTTCGACTATTTAGCAGTAGACGCTGCTTTGTGTCCCGTTTCAAGACAATTCCTTACTTTAACAAGGGAGGACGTCGGAAAATTTCAATTCCGTGATTTCAAGGTACACGGCAAACCCCAGGGCCTTCCGCCGGTTTGGGATATTGAAGGGTTCTCTGTGTATGTAAAACCCCCTCAAGGTCAATAAAGTTGTATTACCATAAATTACACAACATTCAGGGAATAAAAAATTCCGTTAACTATTCAGATTTCGCATGTGCTTTGTAGCACGTGCTGGCGCAGTGGACAGGAAACAAGAGGTTTTAGGACTACCGATTCCCGGACTGGTAGACCGCCGAGGCTTGTTGGCAGATTTTACTATTATGGTAGGGGGAGAGGAATTTCGGTCGTTTCACCCAAAAGCCAGTTCGCCCGGACTGTTTGTCGGTTCACCCGTACTGTTAGCTCCGTCGTTAATGTATTAAAGAACGAGAAAAAAAATGTCTTGTTTAATTTTGTTTCATTGTGCCCACAATGTTGTCTTTTTCGTACGTTTAGTTAAAAGAAAGAATTTTAACACCTTCTTTGATCTTTCAGTCCGGGGGAACAGAATTTTAGTCCGCGGGAACCGACATCGGTCGAACTGGCTATCAAGCGAAACGACCGGTAAGCAGGGAAAGAACCCTGGCGCGGATAGGGGGAGAAAGGGCTGGGGATTGGAGCAGGACCGATTTTTCAACAAAATTATCATTTTTCGTGTTCTTGCGGTGTGTAAATCGTTGCTTTAATCGGCAAGGTGTCTAAGATCGTCTTTTCATCAACTTCGATTTCGTTGAAAATGCCTTTACATAGGCTCCGTATTGCAGGAGACATCTTTCAGGAGTGAACGAAATACAAGAGAAGATCAAGTATCGCATTAACATTATTTTATCACCTTTTGAACTTTAGGACGTGAACGTCGTCGAGCAGAGACGTCGTCAGGCAAACGAAATAGCTGACAAGTTGAAAGACAGTCGCCAACTGCAGCAAGAGCTGCGATCGTTGCACAGTGACGAGGAGCTTATCGAGAAACTGGCGAGAAAACTGCAATTCGCTGTCAAAGAAACAGTCAAGCTCATTGTAAATGGAGAACGACCTACCACAGAGACCATCCTGAAAAATAAGCTAATTGATAAGAAAAAGCTTGCACTTAATGAATGTGAAAAGTGCAAAGAAAATATAAAAAAGTGCAAGTGTAAATCGAACGAACCTTTAGCAAGTCTGGAGGAATATGCAGCAGTGGTGCTCCGCGTGTGTCAAAGCGAGGACGTGTAGANGCAAAGAAAATATAAAAAAGTGCAAGTGTAAATCGAACGAACCTTTAGCAAGTCTGGAGGAATATGCAGCAGTGGTGCTCCGCGTGTGTCAAAGTGTGGACGTGTAGAAAGCATTGTGTAATGGCTAGCTCTATACTGTAACCTCAAACAAAAACAACATGTCCAGAAATGCAGGCAATCGAAAAAAATTCTTGAAAAATTCTTCTAAGCGGTTATATAATATATTTGTTTATATTAAAGCGAATACTTAAACAAATTTATATTATGACAAAATATTTTACAAGGCTAGAAATGTTAATTTATCCTTGAAAATTTAATTATAAGTAGTAATTTTATCATTATAATTAGGATAAAATGTTTCCAAGGCACAAGAGCAGAATTAGAAAATGTCTTATCGCAACCTTTCAAATTTGCAATCTGCTATAACACCCGTCAAATTAATACCCTAGTACACTAGAACAGTACTTTTCAACAAAACAGGGCTATCATTTTCTTTTGTATTTTGTTTTGTTTTGTTTTGTTGTTTTTTTGTGTTTGTTTGTTTGTTTTTTTACTTTTTCAGTTCACTGGATCCCACCGTTATGTACCGGCGTTCAAATAGAGATATAAGCATTCCCAACGGGCCTACGCTGGGCATTTGACAATTTCTTGTAGCCCGGGCCCCAGGTCCAGTTATTTACAGGTTACCTGGAAGGCTCTCGGCCAATGAAACGGAAGAAAACATGCATCAAATGATATTGTTATATCTCCCAACTCAAATGCGTTTTCCGATTGAAGGAGAACGTGTCACGTCTAAACTTACCAACTCCCAAGGGCGAACAAAACTCACTAACTCCCCAGGGAAACAACTTGAACTTTCGACTCGCACGTGATCAGGACGTGCTCCTTGAAACCGAGGCAAATTTATGAGCCAGCCGGAGCTAGCCGGCGTCAAGCAAACGATTTCTTCGCAATTTTTGAATTGGGAGGTATAACAAAACACTTAATGACTGGCCCCACGGGAAACAGTGAGTTTTGTTTCCCCTCGGCCTGAATGTTCCACGAGGCGAAGCCTCGGGGAACAATGAGGGTCTCTGGGAAAGAAAACTCACTCTTTCCCTTGGGGCCAGTCATTAAGTGCTTGATTTATAAATTTTTTTATTATTAGTTATTTAATAGCTAATGTTCGTGCTTCTAGCTTAGAATTCGGAATACTGTTTGTAAACATAACTATACTTTTACAAATTAGCTTTTATGCTTTAACAACAGTAAAAGTTAAAATGAGAGGTGTATCAGGGATTTTAAAGGCAAATGTAAATGTTTTAGTTAAACTTGTGATATTAAACTTGTAAGTTTACGGAAACTGGTGCCGTCACACAGCGTGTCAACTAATCGTAGTTTATAGAGGGAACCTCTATTCGCTTACCATAAAGCAAGGAAATCAAATCCACAGGAAAATAGTAAACTTTATCATTATGGTATATCTGTCTGTAAAACTTCAGTTGTTCATATAAAAATGTTAATTTTAGCAATAGACAGGAGTTGAAAGTCAACTAATGAAATCATTCGAGCAACTTAAGTGACATCGTCGAACGAACTCTCATAATATTTGATTCCTGCTAGAATAATAAACAAGATAATGCATGGTAGCTTGTAGATATGGAATTTTCTCTTCTCGTGTTCAGCTTTATATGTCACTTGTTTTCTGTGTTCACTTGAGAGAGATTGCGTTGAACACTCAAAGAGAAAATCCATATCTATGCACGCATATGTGTTATTCTCTATTTCTCCATACTGATTCACAGTTTTGTCTTGTCCTGTGTATCAGAACTGAAATAGTAATTCTCCCAACTGATTGTCATTTATTTTTATCTTGCCCAGTCCCAAAACTGAAAGTGCATGGTCATCCTGGAGAGGGAAGTAAGTTTTTTACGGGGAGACTTCGCCCCTAGGTCTAACCCCTCACCCTGTTGTATACCATTTTGACATAAAATGTATCCCTTTCGTATATCATTTATTGAAAAAGTTACCCCTTTCAGGCACCGACTTAAGAACACTGCGTCCCTTTTCTAAACCCTTGGAGTGAAGACAATGAACAATACTACGGGAGAACATCAAGCATTAGCAGATCGACGAGAAAACGCTGTTGAGAGCCTTGCCAATGACGTCCAAAGTAGCTGTGGTAGTACCTCGCCGGTGTATATCTTAAAATCGCCGATGACGATTTGAATATTGCGAAAATTAGAAGTTTTTCCATTGTATGGAAGCGAGAGAAGCTTTGCCCTCCAGAATCGTTTCCGTACAATCGCTATAAAAGGAAGCTGCTAACATTTATAACATATTCGAGAAAGAAAGAGGGGAAAGTGAAGAATGATCATCGCAGTAAATTTTCCAATTTAAGCAATTGGAAAATTTACTGCGATGATCATTCTTCACTTTCATCTACAACCGCAATTCAAATATGAATTATTTCACGTATACTTCACATCAAAGAAAGAGGGGTAAAATATAAGGAAGACAGGATATTCAAGGCTCTTATTGAAACGAAAAGCAAAATTTTATGGCAGCTTGAAAACTTGCAAAAGGACAAAGTTTGTATGAAAAACCACTGGAGAGTGACTGGAGTGACAAAGCATCTTCTTCCTACACAAATCCACTTACAGAATATACTGAAACCTAAAATTTGCATGTAAGCTTATTTGTAAAATGCTCTTTTCATTTCTGATAACAGTATGCATTACCAATGACGAAATCAGTGTGTTCTTGAAAAGCCCATCACGTGACCAGCTGTTGCGGAAGGCTTGAAGGCCTACTAAGGCAGAGGTTTCGGCTCGGCGCATGTGCAAGTTACAATGTCAGTCATTCAATATTATTGTTTATAGAACAATCGGAAGCTTTTGCTAACGCGGGTTGCTTTCCTGAATAGCAGCTGGCAGTCGAGCCTATTCCGTTTTAAGTGGTATCTTCCCAACCAGTTTTCAGTTTTCAACCAGTTTTCAGACGTGGAAGAATTTTGTCGAATTGCTAACTTGCGTTAATAGAGACTTTGAGATGCACGTTTACCTGTTTACCGCGAACGGCTAAGGGTCACGTGACCAAGGCTAGACGTCACGTTTGAGGTTTGAACTTCAAAAGGTAGGTTTTCACGTAAGTTCACGTAACCTCGAGCTTACGAACATCATGCATGGTAAGGAAACTGAATAACCTGTTCCGTCGCAGAAATGCCAACAAAAGCCCACAAGAAGGAATTGGTCAGGCATGAAACTGATATCTACACATTGAAAAGAGCTGCAGCTCATGTTTATTCAGCAAGAAGTACACAAGATTCTTGGTCCTGTGAAGTGTTGTTGTGGTAGGTANAAAGCCGGCAGGGAAAGCAAAACAAAACCGCCTCCCCTTTCCCTAAGCTCAAGGTCTGGATCCGCCACTGTTAAAAGTCATACAAGTACATAATTTATTAGCCACCTTCTAGAGCGGTGTTGAATGGCAACTAGAAAAATATGTCTTGCACATGTGTTGTAAATTTCACAGGTCTTGGGTGTGTAATATTTTTTTCCTCGGTATCATTTCAGGGTCTTCAATCCTGCTGCAAGGTTAACAAAGTCTCGTCAAGGTAATTTACAAACAGATATATCTAAAAGTCCTTCCTGTTTCACTAAAAAATATTGTACAGCTGAGTGGAAGTGCTACCTAACAAAAATTGTTGATGACCTTGGATTTGTAAAAACTACAACTCTCCAATGCCCTTTAACTTCAACTTACACAGATATTTCAGGAATAACAATTTCTTTAAATCTGATCGCATTTTAATACCTTTTCTTGCAATTTCTCCCAACCCTTAGGACCTACAGGGCTTGGAAAATTTCAAACATACAACTTGTGAAACCTTTAAATAAGGGACTGTTATTTACTGGTACTAAATAGCAGTAGCTTTTAGATCGCTGGATTTATGTGTTTTCACATGCTCCTTTATAAATTGTTGGCTTTAAGGTCAACCTGACAGAAAATTTTGGAAGTCCACTGTTTAAGCCTGCCTGATTATGCCATAATGAGGTTAAGGTGTTAACTACCAGCACCTTAATTACTAAGGCCAAAAAAAATAAGCACTCACCAACACTGTGTCTCAGGTCTAAGAAAAATTACACGGGGCCCAAAGGTTCCTGACCATGAAATCTTGGGTGCCCATCACTAATAAGCTTATATGAAAAATTCAAGTA